ATTTTAATTTTTCTAGATACAATTCTTTTCACTATGTATCTCTAGATATTGTGTATATGTGTATAGCGAAAGTTATGTTTCTAGAAATACCAAAATGTGTTATAATTTGGAACGGAGAGAGTAAAAAACAAGGAGGCCGGACAATAGACCCTAATCAGAGGTATCCAAGGGCAAAATGATAATTAGGCATCCCAGGAGCAGGCGGTGGCTCAATTCTCCGTTTCTTCTTTGAATGGAATGATTATCAATTTCTAAGAGGAAATAATGGTATAAATAAACCGATCCGAGCTCAAAGCTTGCCGTTGTTGGGCTCCTAGCTAGCTGTACAGCGTAGGCCCACCGGTACAGGATAGCTTCTGGTCGGGTTAAGTGGGCCAAAATACGGACCGGGCCAAATCCGTGCCAAAGAATGCTGCATTGGGCTGGGCCCTACAGTGTGTGCTTTCCGCGACCAAACTGGTTAAGAAAGAACTTCATCTTCTTTCCCGGGCGACAGACGCGTCAGGTCCGTCCGATGCGAGATGACCGGCTCCCCTGTGTTTATTTCATTTCATTTATACTCTGCGGCTCTGCCTGTTGGTGTCGTCCTCTGCCTGTGTGTTTTTCCGTCCTTTTCCCCTGTCACTGTTTTCTTCGCTTTGCTGTGAGGAACGGAACACCTCGATATCCAAGTGAGGCGAGCCGCGGCGACGTGCGAGTCCGGCGTGTCCCGCGGCCTAAATCCTAGCCGGGAGCCGGCCCACCGGCGCGTCCCGCGGCCTAAAGCCGGCCCACCGGCTGCTGCTGTTGTGGTAAGGTGGGCGCCCCGCGCGCGGCTCCCCTCGTCTGTCTCGTCCAGGCGCGTGCGCCGCTCGATTCGTGGGATTCGACCTCCGGTGCGACGGGGAATGGGCCCGTGCTGCGCCCGGCGTCGCGGAGGTGAGTGTGTGTTATCAGTGGAGCTGCTGCTGCGTAGGCGTCGTTCTGTCGCGTGTTGTTTTTGTTGGGGACGATTGCGTGGGAGCCGGGTGCTGCCGCTTAATTCCGCCTAATTTGCCGTCTCGGTGGGGTGCTGTTGCCCTCGGGGTGGCTGCAATTTGGTTGCTCTCTGGCGCTCGGGGGAGAGTTTCAAGGGTGGATTTTCGCGGGTGTTGCTTTGCTTGGTTGTTGCGGGGTGTGGATTTGGGGAGGACCAGACTGTCAAGTAACTGGCTTTTTCTTGTGTTGGTTGCCTTTTTCATTCGTGATTTATTTGTCTTCGACTCAGGAGGGGGTTCAGGGTGGGGATTACATGGCCGGTTTGCTACTGGTTTTTTTGTTGGATTCGTGCTAGCCTTTCCTTACTAAATGCATAGCAAAGTGTGGTTGCTGTTTGAACATGTATTTCCTACCGTTGTGTGTATTCCTTATCTCAGTTCTAGCTAACATTTAATTTGGAAGTGCAAGATATTGAATTTGTGTAATTAGAATATTTGGAGTTTGCGTTTACCAGCTCAAAATGGTGTTTCAGATTACATTGTGAATCTGTTTATTGTTTGCATGTAAATCTAAGATATTATGCATAAAATTCTGTATGTTTCAGTCCATGCTCTAGACTTTATGTAAATCTAAGATATTTCTGCTAAAAATATAATTACCAGTTTATTTTAACTTTTGGCTGTTAGCACATAACGTTGTCAGATCTCTTGTTTCAATATCCATCGTTAAGTAGGTCTTGGATTTCGCAGAAGTGGGTGTATTATTTTGACAGTGTTTTCAATTAAAGACAGCTGACCTTTAGTATCTCCAGATAAGATGATACCTTTTGTGTCAGAGTAATACCTGTCATCATTTTATAACTCTGGTTAAGGAACCTTGTGGTTATGTATAGTGGAAGCTTCTTTGTGTAGCGAACTCAAATTTGGTAAAAGTTTCCAATGTGTTGCCTATGTATATCCTTCAAAGTGTCATAGGTATGATCTATTTTCATTCAGGAATCAGAATTTTACTCTGTTCAGTGATTTACAAGCTGTTTTAGGATCTGCTTTTTTGTGCGAGGATTTGATTGGTTCTGTGTTCGATTTCTAGTTCATTTAGGAATTTTTTGTGGTTGTCCGGTCCGCTGTTGCAGCCGCCAAGGAGTGCCAGGTCGGCGCTTGAAGGAGCCTAGCAATTTTTTTGTGTTCGATTTCTAGTTCATTTAGGAATTTCGTGTCAATCAAATTTGTTTTGGTCATTTTTGTTAAATTTGCTTGCAAGGTCTGAGTGTTTTTTGGTTTTGTTCTTTCAGTAGCAGTTTTTGTATTTCTCAGTGTTGGCCAACAACACTAGCAGTTAATGGTTGTTGTGTGTCAGTTGATTTAATCCCAGGAACAGCTTGCCTTTCAGTTAGCCTGTTCATGTGTTGTTTCGGCAAATTCTTCTTTGCCGGAGTAGTTCTTACAACAGCAGCTAGCTACATACTGTTTCAGTGCTTTCCGTTCAGTTCAGTTTTTACAACATCTTTGTTCTCCTGTTGACTCCGCTTGACTGAATTTTTCTTGAGCTTGGTACTGCAGGTTTTTAAGAGTGCTTTTAGCTTTGATTTTTCAGTGTCTGGCTTGCTTAGGACAATTGTGTTATTTTGTATTCTATGCAGCAGAACAGTGTATCTGTAGTTTGGAGAACATCTCGGCTTGCAGTAGTGGTAGGATATAGAAGTTGCATCTTGACCATTATGTAATTAGTTAAGCTATAATGTTCAGACTTTAGGAGAACAAAGAGGCTGCTTATTTGAGCTGTCCTTTTTATTTAAAAGTTGAACTGTTGACGCATGCCTGTTTTGGCAACAGAACAGACAAACGGTCACGGATGGTTAGACAAACCTTCGGTCACCTGCCACAGTTCGTTGTTGATCGTACGGTGCAGGCTGGTGACTGATGGTTAAGCAAACCATCGGTCACCTGCCATAGAGACACATCCTAATATATATTCAGTTCTGGGGAGGTACTTCCACCTTTCTATTGATGTTCTAGCTTTAAACTGTCACCGTTATCGCTGGTCTAGTTGGAACTGCAGCAAATTTGGCATAGCAATCTGCCAACCTTAGCAGTCGAACCTCCATCGAGCGGTCAAAAAAAAAAAGGCCGTCGAAAAAAAAACGTAGCAACGGAATAGATTTGCAACTTGCAATTTTCACGAGACAACAAATCCAAGTCGATGAAGATCATGATTTGGACATTACAGTTTATTTTCCTTTCCGCTTGGAACAAATTAAGGAGCCTCTCCGCTCAATTGAACGTCAAGTATCATAAAAAATTTAATTCGGAATATACCGTTGAATTGAATCATTGCTAGAGTTTATTATTGATTTATGATATAAGAGAAGTTTATTTTTTGATCATCCAACTATTGCCCGAGCTTAGTTTTAGCTGGCATGGAACTCGAAGACCAGCGATCCTTGGCCATAAAGGGTGGTGGTTTTGCAGGTGTAAATGACATATCAGAGCCCACATGTCACCATTATCTTCTGTCCACTCTCCTAACTTATCTCTCTGGCCCGACCTAAAGCAGATCTGCCTAGGATGATGACCAAGTCTAGTTGGTCACATCACTTTACAAAAATGGTTTCTACTTGTGGTTTTCAGAACCACCGGTGGAAATGGTGTGTTCCACTGGCGTTAGCTTGAGAACCGTCTACGTAATAAATCCTATGAAGTGACCGTTGGCATGAGAATCACTTATCTTCAGTTACTATTTATTAGAATTGTTGTTATTGCAATGCCACTTTTGCATCAAGCAGTGCCATCACTTGGGATCTTAGGGAAGCACTCATTGGGAAGGTTTCCTTTTTTATCGTGTTGACACTTAAATTGGGCCCACGACAATTTAAATAGGCCCATGGCAGTTTTAGTCAAATCTAAGAAAAACTCTATAACAACATAAAGAAATAGTACCTCATTGGTTTTTCAACAGGATAAGACCACCGATACTCCCTATAAAATAGGGGGTACATGGCTGATTGAGGTATCAAATACAAAATCGTCCAATTTACATTTAAAATATACCTTTTTTCCCTAATCCTTTTTCTAACCCATGACATGATGATGTTCATCTCTTGATCGGATGATCAAGGATGGTTCACTAGGCTTGCCAACCGACCTAGGGGAACTCGCCGATGTGCTTCCCCGACGGGATCCCTCCCGGTCAAGAGCTTTGACGTTTTCTTTGCTATTTTTATCATAAATTAGTCGTTCTTCGTTCACGCAAGCATGATTGGATACCCTTTGGTGGTTTGCTCGTAAATCTCTTCATTCTTCACCACCTAAGTGTGAGCCTTGCTACGTTCTTCAGTCCGTAGCGACTCAGACGATCTAGCTCTAGTTGGTGTGCAACTGATCTTCGCGTCAACAGGTCGACTATGCCTAGGAGGATGGCTATTTCACTTTGATTGATTTATTATATATCTATGTCTGGGAGGGTTTTATACCTTTCTTCACCGACCTTAATAGTCGATTATGATCAGACACTATCTTCAATTCTTTTATTTATAACCGGAAGATAGGTGGACACATCGATAAAGATTACATTAATCGGATTTTTTTGATAAAGATTACATATAATAACCAGATCTAGTTAAAGAGCATTAGTCATCCTTATGGGTAACTAGAAAGTGGAGAAAGATGTCATACAGATTACTAGTAGATAAGTAGATATGCAGTAACCAGCAATTATCTGTGTAGAGTTGCCGAATGAATTCTTTCATTACCGGCAGAGCTGTTTTGAGAATTCAGACTGGACAGAACCAAAGGCAGAGCTGTTTGAGAATCTAGACTGGACAGAACCAAAAGAACGTGCAGCACTGGACACGAGTCCAGTGAACTAAACAATTCCACGTCCTGGAAATTGCTCCTACAGGTTCCGCACATTTTCAGAAACACTCCATTCCCCAGCTCTCTTTTGTGCCTCTCAGATATCTGATAGCATCCAAAACTTCTCTTTCCACTTCCCAGTCGTTTCTCTCTTGCTCCTAAGATGAAGGTTAGTTCCAAATCATGCGTGAATCAGAAGGATGAAAATTGGCTTTGGGATGCTTGTGCCGCAATGCTTATCTCCCCACAATTGCCTTCATCTGCACCCAGTATCCTGCATGCCATACAGGCACCAGCAATAACAAATTGATCAGGGAAGCATCTTCAAAAATGAAAAGATATGCTACAGGCACCAGCTAATTATTTTAGGGTTTTGTAGAGTTCAGTTAGTTGGCCAAACATCTAAATATGCCATAGCATGGCCCTACTTTTAGGTGAGTATGGACTTTATATTTTGTTATTGCTTGCTGAATTTTGATTGCTGGTAGGAGGGCGGTCCATTCCCTGCTGATTTAGTAGGGAACACCATGGTATTAATTTAGTATACCTATCCTCTATCTAGAAGCCCTGGTTAACTCTATATAAATTAAATAATGTGTACTTGAATCTGTTCACTCATTAGTCAATACTACCTTCAACAACTAGAGGTTGGATCTTTCAAAAAAAAGAGAGAGAACTAGAGGTTGGATACTTCTTAAACCAACTAAAGATAGGGGACTGACGAAGGAACTGCATGGTGCTTACTCTCGGGGCCGAGAAACCCAGAGGGAGCTTAAGGCGCGGAGGCGATTGTGATACTCCCCAATGGCCAAGAAACATCGAGCTGCCTGCCGAACTGTCAGAATCCGGTGCATCTGATGAAGAGTCTGCTGCCTCAAGTTATCAGCCTGGAAATTACACATCTAGCTTTAGCTCATGTTGCAGGAACATTGGACAGATGCATTCCAAAAAGGTATCATTACATGCTTAGTTGACAAGTCATATCTTTTCTACAACGCAAACATGAAACTTCCACATTTGTATATTCTGATGGCATCATAAAGCCTATTAGATATGAGTGAGCTACATAGTATTGAATAATTAAACTTGACGTTGTCTAAAAAGACCAGCTGCTTATTTTTTTACGAGTGTGACCAGGCAAATAAAGATGTCCCGACTCCTGAATACATTATCTCTGTGACATTACTTTAACTCCTGGAAGTCTTGCTCATCTACAAAGTTGAGTGGAGGACTATATAACACTGACATAATGATCAAGAGTGAGAAACCATAACCTGTATCACAAAACCTTCAAGGTTGGACAGCTTGCCAAGGGCAAGAGCCATTTGACCCATGAAGCTCATGTTGGTGTCGTCAATCAGAGATCCACCGGCTATGGTGTCAGCTAGTGACTGATGCAGCTGGTCCAGGCCCTGGGAGAGAGCTTCCTCTGCCTGCTGTGATGACTGTTGAAGGTTGCATATGCCTACCAGTTGCTGCTCAGTCAAGGGATCTAGCTGGGGTAGCAGCGTCTGCAGCAACATGAAAAATTATCTGTACTGAACATGGAAAATATTGTTGTACTAAAATGATGTCAGATTTAGACTGTGTTCATTGTTTCCTACTGTTGGTTGAAAAAAATCTTGTTATTTAAGTATTGAAAAAGTATTTAGACTGAGTTCAGTTTATCAATCTATGTGAATGCAGTTATGTACAGTATAGTGCAGGCAGTTTGACATCAGTTGTTCTATACTTATATTCAGATTATCAGACGAGTTCATACCTTGACCAGATCTGATGGCCTGAATCCACCCATCCAGAGGAAGCATCGCTCGGCAGGGGTTGTCCACACCCCGGTGATGAGGTGGAACACGTCGGACTTGGCTGCTGACGCCTTCAGCTGGAACAGCTCATCGTGGTGGGTCAGAGTGTCATCCACGATGGCTCTGAGGTCACCGTCGGGCAAGTGCGCATGCAGAGCTCCATGCAGCTCGGCCATGCGCCGGCCATGGTCATCCAGCCAACGGGCGTACTCCACGTCGAACATTGCGGCGCCTGGACATGGTTGATGATACAAGTGGACTATAAAACGACTACAACAACGCATAAGAACGTTGAGAAATGAGGATCAGATGAGGCACCTGAGCTGGTGGTGTTTGCACCAGGAGCTCCTCCAAGAAAGATGCCCTGAACAACATATTTCATCGATTCAGATGTTCAGTTAGTAGTCAGAAAGCAACACACAGGCCTAGAAACTACAGTGTACCTGGGAACGTGCTCTCTGCATGTCCTGTTCTATCTGAGCGAGCTTCAGTTTGCTGCTCTCAAGCTGCTGAATGTAAGCCTGTAGCACATTGACAAAATTAATTGTCAAGAACTTGGTAAACTCACTGTTAAATGATTCAGTTTCTAAGTAAATGACGCTCAATATTCACCTTCTTTCGCAGCCGGCTTTTGCGTGCAGCTTCTCGGTTCTGCGCAAGCCTTCTGATTGTCTGCTGACACCAAGAGAAGATCAAACTCATCATCTAGGATTCTGATGTACATATATATCTTTGTTAGCTTTCATGGCATCAATTGAGAATGATCTACTGCAAATAGGTAACTGAAAGAGACAGATAGAGACCTTTCGATCAGGAGTCTTGCCAGTCCTTGGGGTGGAACTAGTAGCCATGTTCTGCATACCAAGTATAGATGGACAAGTCACAACATGTAAAATCAGTAAACCTGAGTACAATTAGACAATAGGAGAGAAATGACATAACACTATTTCTGTTCATCTGTGTGTGCCCATGGCGTAAACAATAAATAGTAGGATATCAACATTCACGTTACATCGATCAGAAATAAAAAAACAGTGGTGTACATTTGGTGGAAGCCACCCACTCTTACAACAGACAAAACCTAGTTTTGCTTTTTGTTCATGTTGTTGTCACGCCCTAATTTGCAAAGTTTCTTTTGGTTAAGTGTGAACCATGCAGTTCATATATAATGTTTTCACCCAATATATCTTGGCAGTTGATCAATTGACCAGAAAGTACCTAAAGCATCACTGACCCAAAGTTGCCATTATTTAAGCATCAGCTGTCTCATTTCTATTCGGGCACAATTCTGTAAGCTAGAGACAAAATAATATTGTAAGAATACAAGCTTGTCTCCTATTGCAGCACCAATGGCAGTACATGATCTATCATGCACTACCTAACGTGTCCTCTACTAGCCTACTCGACTTATCCACACACCTATATAGCAAAATGCCATTCATCTAGAGGACTAGCTAGCTCTTATTTTAGATGAATAACTAGAATGACTAGTTCTTGTAGAGGATGTTGTCCGTCATCCTAAAATAAAACTCAACCAATATAAAATTTTCGAAGATAAGAGATCATATTCTCCATCTAATACTAGCAGTACACAAAAACATTAACCCAGTGCACAAACATCAGCGAGGCAGTTGAAACTCTTCTTATTTCTACACGGGGCTAGGGACCAAAAGATTCATCTATCCACGTTGGAATTGGTGATCTTGGGAGCAGTAAGACCATAAATGCCATGGAATTATGTCTTCTTCTACCAATAGGAGAGCATGTACTAGCTAGCTGCATGAGCATCTTGGAAGTTGTGGCCTTTGTGGGATAGCTAGCGACATGAGACCAGGATAGGGAACAAGATATACTACTATACATTGCATTTTTTATCAATAAGGATGCAGCCATGCAGGAGAGATAGTAAGATGGATGCAGCCACAGAGAAATGCCTACCTTGTGCTGTAGCTGCTGCTGCTGTGAAACTTGATCAAACTGGCTTTGCATGTCTGCTGCTGCTCCGTGCTGATCTGAGGAGTGGTTGCTGTTGTTCTTGCTGCTGCTCTCCGAGTCGTCTGTGTCTTCTGTCACATTTGAGCCCTCCTAACGTGTAAAAGCAAAAGGGGGAGCAGTTGCAAACTTGTGTTCTTGCTCGTACTAGTTAGATGCGATACTTGTAGCTAGTCCATACCTTGGGTGTGTGAAGAGACCTCATAGGCCAAGCTGGGAAGATGTCCAGTGTAGGAGGTGGCCTAGCTGTAGCCGTTGCAGCTGTGACAGTAGCAGCAGTGGGAAAGGCTGCAAGAAGATATCGTAGGGGAGAGGAGATCAAGACATCTATCCCAGTACCAGAGATGAAACTGAAAGAATGCATTGGGATCACAAGGGAAGGTAAGTGGGACCACTGTGGCAGTGATAGTGAACGGAACTTATTCTCTTTGAGCTTTTGCCTACAGAGAGCTAGAGAGTTGGTAGTGTGGTACATGTACTACCATGGAGATCAACTTGTTGCACTCTAGAGAGAGAGATAGAGGAGAGGAGAGAGGAGAGAGGAGGAGGAGGAGGAGGAGGAGGAGGGAAGGGAATCACAAGGTAGTCACGCGGTCACGCCACACACAAGTAGCACAGCTGCACAACTGCCACTCCTGCTGCTCTTGCATGGTTGCTTTTGAATACCATGCCCTAACTATTGCAAAAGTGCCTCACAAGGTTGTGCGTTTTTGGCCTTGGCCAGTGCCCAGTAGCCAGAGAGAGAAACGGTTGTGTGTTTTCTTGGTCTTGGTCAGAGCCAGAGAGTGGTCAGAGCCAGAGAGAGGGAGAGAGAAAACGACTAATAAAGCAGAGAAAGAGAGAGATTGGCATACGCTTGATGTCTCCATGATGAGCTATGGAGGTGGTTGCAGCTTGTTGAGTTCTTGTGAGTGAGGCAACCTGATGCATGAAAGCCTCTTCCAGCTCTCCAAAATAGGCAGCTCCTTCTTGGTCACTGCTAGGCATGTGAAATGGCAATCAGTAACCATTAGAGGTAGAGCAGAAATGTTAGGCAGGAAGCATGAGCAACGTCGTTGGGTAGAAAAGGACGAGGAACCAATGTGACAGAAGATGACAGAGAGGAATGAAGAAATTAAAACTGAGGAACTCATGCAAAAAAAATCATAAACTTGAAACAAATGCAATCAAGTTGCAGCTCATTCATCTTTGTCTTTTCATTGCAAAAATCCTGGCCCCAAAACTGAAGAAAGATGCCAAACAGAATTTGAGAGGAAAAGAGAGAGAGAGAGAGAGAGGAAGAGGAAGAGGTGTTCTTACAAGTTTGCAGGAGTGGAATTGGCGATGGCGCCATGGAAGCCATAGCCAAGAACACAAGGATCCTGCCTTGAATGGCTAGAACTACTAGTCTCTCCCATCCTGCGCAGCACACTCAGAACTCCTATATACAGATATCCGTGTCCCAAATTCTTCTGTTCTTCTTGTAGATTCACCAGCAACCTAGAAGCTTCTGCATCCAGAACGCAAAAAAGATCAAATCGGCTGATCATGATGCTGCACACCACTAACTCAGAAAACTCATGCACAGAAGGTGGAGTCAAATCAAAGAACATACCAGGATTGGGAGACCTCCAACAAGAAAGAGCCCTGGCGACGACGAAGTAGCTTTGAAGGAGTTGGAGCGCATGCAGGCTTAGACCGTTTCTGTTCTGGGTAGCTCTTGCTCACACGCCGCAGATTCTTGTTTGATATGACAGTGTAATAGTTTCAGCTTCTTTAGGTGTGCCACAATGCCCCAGTTTCAGAGGACGATATGTTTTGTCCTCATAGCCTGCTTTTGTACTGTGATTTCCGGAGAGAGAGAGGGTGAGAGAGGAAGAATAGGGCCTTGTCTTCACTTGAAAACTTTTGTCATGAAGCCACAGGAATCCCAGGCTGCACTCTTATCATGGAACTGACTGCCCTCCCTGGTTGGCCCAGCAAGTCCTCCTAATTTATCTTTATTTATTTATTGCATGACCTTCTTTCTTTCTTTTTTTGAAAAACTAGAAAGGAAGAACTGTGGATGGATGGATATGGACAGAAGCACTTCTTTAATAATATAATGAGCCGTGGGAAGGATTACAACTTCACACTGGTGATAACATAATCTTACAGGGACTTTCGAAACATAATTGTTTCTTTTTAACTTCAAAATAATTCTTGGAACAGCTGGTTTTCTACTCAACAATGCCACCCCACCCATCGCATTTAGACTTTCACCATGCCTGTCAATCCCTGTTATGAACTTATGATAGCATGGTTAATCACAAGATAACCGCTAGTAGTAGCTCATGCAAACACATGTAAGTGCACTTGAAGTTGAAGTTCACTTAAGTGTTCAAGAGAAACTAATTTGAAATGCAATAGACCACAAATTGTTGCCTAACAAAAACAGAGGAGCCATCTGGTGTTATCAATTATTCAAGACCGCTTACATTACTATTATATGTACAAAATAAAAAACGTCTGAAACTATTGGTTAGCAACAGCATGGACATTTTGGTCATTAGCGTTGCCGTGAAGGCATGAACCAATTTTCTCTTCTGAGAATAAAGGCAGGATCTCTTCCATTTCATGAAGATGGAGAGAGGGAGAAAACCAACAAATAATAACAGAGAGGTCTGCGGCCAGGCCAAGTCATCCTGGCCCAATGATAGATGTTTATGGTCTTATGTAGCTCTCAGCATGCAGTGTTTCAATAAAAAAAACATAAACACAATGCATTGCTTATTTATACTAGATCAGCAATTCAAAGATAAAAAAATAACCAAACAAAATAAAAGCATAATCTAAACCTAATTAAACCTGTTGAAAACAAGTCTACCGTAGCTTTGAGGAGTATTATATCAATTAGATAAAGGCGTACCCAGTGCAGAGAGCTCCCGCTCTGTGCGGGGTCTGGGGAAGGGTGTCAGTGGCAAGCCTTACCCTCGCCTGTGCAATGTGAGAGACCACGACTCGAACCCGGGACTTTCCGGTCACAGGCGGTAAGACTCTACCGCTTGCACTAGGCCCGCCCTTCTATTATATCAATTAGATAGGAAGTATAATTCGATGTATTCTACAATATTCATGTCAATGCCCAATCATGCAGCGAAAGTAATGACATAACCTACTGGACAGGCAACACCAATATTTTAATTTGATTCCTGATTTTAATTTGCCTGGCATTGTCCCCCTGTTAATGAGTCAACATCCATGGCTTGTCAAACAATACCTAAACCCACACCAATCCAATCCATATCCAAAACGTGAGCTAACATATTAAATCCCTCAGCCCAGTGTTAAGTCTAATCAATCAATGGGCTTTTTTTGTTAGCTAATGTCATTTGTCATTGATGTGTTGGACCGAGGTTAAATAATACGTATATGTTTTAACATCTTTGTGCACAAAATTACACGGTAATTGAAAGCAACACTTGATGCCTCGTGTGAATCTGCAGAAGTGCAAATCACAAACTTAATTGTGGGCTCCTAAAGCCACATCTAAATTCTAGTGGTCACATGATGACTCAACTGATGTAATTTACAGTAGTGAAAAACACATGAGGCTTATCATTTTAGTTAAAAGAGAACTCCACTACTGTGTGATTCCACATCAGATGTTCACCAAAGAGGAGATATATTTGGCATGCATGTAAACGTGATCCTGTCAGTAATCACCAATTCACCAACAAAGCTTAGATCCTTTTTCATACACATTGGATCCGCTTTTGGTCCTAGCTACAAAAGGAGACATTTTTCAGATAAAGACGATGTGGGCATGTTGTATATATGTTGAAAATGATGGTCGGTGGACATCTCTGTCAATCATGGGTGGATGTCTACTAATGGAATTCGCACTTAATTCACTTTATCCCGTATAAGTTTGTGTTCATTATTTTGTTTGGCTATTTTGCTAGCAAACTTTTGTCAGTCGGGGACTGGAACTCATAATGATGGATGGTTGAGAACATAGCTCATGCAGAGGCTGGGATAAATACTAGTTAGACTTTATTAACAAAGAACCTTTTTCAGTCAGGAAAGACAATGGTTAGCTGGAATAAGAACATATGTCCCTTTCGTTTTACACTTAAAAAATTAAAGCACTTGACTAATCTATGCTGTTCCTATCGAGCCTTTCTGTTTCCTTTCCTCTGTCCTCACCCTGTCACCCACTATTTTCTTGCCAATGATCAGACATGAAAATGTGCAAAAAAATATTTACAAGAGAATTTAATAATAGCCCAAAAGGAATAGGAGAATGTTTATGATTGGATTAGGTGATGCATGCGCCGAGCTGCTAGCAGATTGAAAATTGGTACGCCTGGCAAGTTTGGATGCATGCACATTTGGTACAGTAGTTGAAACTTCAAGCATGATTTGAGGTAATTCATTAAGGCTCTAATTAGTTTCTTCGATGACCAGTACCATATTATATTGTTGTGTACAGCTTTAAACAAACAAAGAACATTAAGTAGTTTATTGGCTAGGCTGCGTTATACTGTAAGTACTAAGCACGGATGGATTACTGGATTAGGCCATTCCTTGTACAGTAAATTTCCAAATAAGGCATATATGCCTATCAAGAGCACCGTAAGCATGATATATACATAGAGGATGATGTAATAGGAAATTAGGAATAACCATTTAGTAGCAATGATATACACAACTAGAGTTGCATGTTAGTAGTTATGATGGTTATGATGATTTGGATGCGAAATGCCGAAATCGAAATCAGTTAGTACTTGTAAGGGGGAAATGGTAACTGAATCGGGCAATTCAATCAAAGGAAAGCTGCAATCGAAATAACAGAAATAAAAGAGATCATTAGAAACTTAGCGGGTGTGACCGTATGAGGCGCCGCGCCGATGGACCTCCTTCGCTGTTCGCTCTTGCTGATGGAGGCGGAACCGCCGGTCCCTCCGCCACCCGCGCCTCCCGGCAGGCCGGCCGGCACCCTCTCCGTCTCCACCCGCCGCTGACGCGCATCCCCGACTCCTGTATCACCAACCATAAGCCCGCCGCGTCGCACCTCTGTCGCCGGTTGCCTTGCCGCGTCCCCTCCGTCGTCGTTGCCGGCGACGGCGATCGTCGTTGGACTTAGGAAGATGGGCTGGTGTGAGCGTGGGCCTAGACAACTGCTGCGGGCTGGCCGATCCTTGATGGTCTTTGATTTGGGCTATGACATTTTATGGCCCAGAACTGGTCGTCGTAGGAAAATGGGCTGGGCTGTGTTCAAGTGTTGTGTGGAACACACAACCTGGATCATCTCGGTCCGTCTCAGAATGAGGCCTCCAGTTGTACAGTACATTATTCTCAGCCCAGACGTGGTGTACAACTTTTTCCCACTGGTTGATTTTCAGGCACATATTTCGTACAGGTACAGGGGGCAACAAACACAAAAATGATCAGCAGATGGGCTACATCCTCATGATCATATACCCGGATTCTCGTGACAGATAAGCACAAACCCGGATTTCGCATATATCCGGGTTTTCTCCGTGAAAATCACTGTGATGTTTCTTGTTTATCATGGGCCTGTGGTTGCAACACCTTTGAGAACATCATCACTTGCATTTGTTGATCTCCGAATGCAAATGCCGAAATGACAGACCCGGATTTTGCAGGGTCGAAGATGGTGCGTGGCACTGAAACCGTCAAGGCTAGTAACGCAAGCGTTTGTTTGGTTTAAACTACATGGTGTGCAAGCGGTATCTTGATCTCATTTTTCTGAGTTCATTTTCTCTGTCTGGGAAGATATTACTCAAAATTTTCCGGTTCGGCAAAAAATAGTGCCAGTTGATTGATCGCTAGGAATTTTGGTGGATAAACATATGGATTCATCTGCAGTTCAATAATATTCAGTCTCACTAATGATTTAACTTCTTGAAGTGGCTTACAGCAGAGTGCAAAGTTCTGTTTTCAGCTTAACAGACTAGGTACATATCACCAGTAATTAAGTACCACATGCCTAAGCGGTAAGCTGTGCAAATTCTTCAGACTTAGCTCATGTTGATTCCCACCTTCCTGCCAGTTGGCAACAGTGCAGAATAGCATAACTAAATGTAAAAACAACTATGACAGGGCCATGGGTATGTCATGTTTTTACTAACCGTCACAATAGACCAGGAGTCCCGGATAAGATAGATAGGATTGCGTCAAAAAAAAAAAGATAGATAGGAAGCTGACAGTGACAATTACCAAGGATCAAACACATAGCAGAAGTACGCATGTGAATCCTTTGGAATTGTTGAGCTATTTTTGCTGATGCCCGATGAGGACACAGAGTGGGAGTGGGCAAAAAAAGATGGAGAGAATATATCTAGATCTTATCTTTGTACGTTTAGATCTATATCTATACCTTTTTTTTGAAAGGATCTCCAAAAGGCATCCTGTAACTTGTGCTAAGATATTGAAACTTTGATATCTGAACGATCGACCCCGGCTGCTATAGATCACTGCCCTCTGGTATGCTCTCCAGCGCAGGCCGCCACCCTCCGCAACACTCCTGTTCATGATCGCTTGTTTCTTTGCGCATGAGAGACACCACCATGTCGTCCAGCGACATGCCCTGTTTGTCGAGCATCTTCTTGAGCTCCCGCTTGCTGATCACCAGCTTCACCCTGACGGTGCCCGCTGGCGCCTTCACCGGAAGAACGCTCGCCGCCGGCAGGGGCTCGCCGAGGGAGTCGTCATGGACCTTCATCAATCTGCTGCAGGGTGGCACCTTGAGGACTTCGCTGCTCACATCGTCCACGCTCACGATCTTCATCTCCTTCCTGTCCTGAATCACCAGGCAGTTCCCCATGACGATGGCTGCTGATGGAATTGTGATGTGCTCTGAAGTCTGAACTCTGAAGCTCTGTTGGAGCAAAAGATCACAGTTCACAGCTGAGAGATGGGGTTGGAGGCAGTAGTGTGTGTTGTTGTATTTAAAAGAAACGCTTTGTGAACTGGGGCACATTGTTAAGGGCATATTTATTTAATACCACTGGCCGACCAATCGAAGGGCACATTGTTAAGGGCTATGATGGCCTATGCAAAAGCTTATTAGCTAGCATAATGACTAACCCACCCACTCAGTAGATATGAGGGTATCAACCTGGCTTTTTGTAACTTGCTGTTCTTGACTTGGTTTATTTGGCATGTTTTGTGTCAGGTCCATCTAGGAAACAAATGTGGCGCGTGCGCAATGCATTAGCACAGTTGTCTTAATAACACTAACAAAAAGTTACACATTGGCCCCGTTCGTTTTACTGAAAAAACAAGCCGAAACACTATTCCGGCTGATTCGTTGTAAGAGAAAACAATGTTCCGACTGAAAAAATAAGCTAAAAAAGACGGATCATAATAGTCACCCACCTTTTGTGTGAGGATAATCGTCACTACTTTGTTTTCTCTAGTAGACTAATGTTAGCTTAGAAAACATTAGTCGTTTGGTGGTACTGATCTTCACCTATTTCAAAGTATCTATCTTATCTACTGCACTACTAGTGCTGAATTTGGGGTATGGTAGTTACACGCATGTCTCTTTAGGTAGTTCTAGCTATTATATATGAAATGGTGTAAATTTGTAACGAAATCCATGCGAATTTATTGCTTTTCAAACTTGCAAATGGCAATGGCTAAACTAACCTTATATGCTTGCTTTTCAAACTTGCAAATTTGGAAAGGCTATCAAGAACCTGCTAATATGCGAATTGATTGTAGCTCAATTAGTTTCCTATGGTTAATCCTATCTACTTGGGTTAAGATTATGCTACAATGCTCATAGGAGTAGGGATTTGTTAGCGATACGTTTGACTTGCTGGTTCAATCTTTTTGATGTGTAAATCTAGGATTTACACTGGTGGTAACTTAAGAAAACAACCAATCAATTTTTATTGGCGGTAGTCTTAAGTGAACGGCTAGTGTAAATCCTGGTGGTTTAGTTAACACTGTCACAAGTGTAAGTGTATCTGGACTAGAATCATAGCCATGGGCCCACACATCTGTTTCTACTAGTGTCTGCTCTTTATGAACCACCTATGAAAAAAGACAATTGTTTCTGTTCTAGTGACCTATCCACTCTGATTCAAGAACCTGCTAACGTTCCTTATAAAAAACATTCTCATAGTCATAGGAGTAAGGTTGGTCAACGATACGTTTGACTTACCAATTCAATCTTTTGGACGTGCTTACAAAAATAGGGTTTTGTAAATGTGTCCATCAAAATAATAAAAATGACTCTGCGTGCATGTACTGTTATGGTTAAAAATTGCTAATGAAAGGATTGATGTTACAAAACATTACGATGCATATGGGGAGCAACATTTGGGACAGGCGTAACCCATGTTGTGTGCTTGCTGCTAGCCTTTGGGAAGTGGTGGAGGTAAGAATCATTCGCGTGCATGCTGTCGATTTTGCAGCTGAAAAAGACGGCCGAAATGAATGGATCCAATTCAAAAGACGCGCGTGCTGGTGTGTGTAGGCGGACATGCCGAAAACGACCTTACTCCATTAATCTGTAACCAAAATGATAGCCCATCGTAAAAACATGAATTGCACCAAATTGTTTGGCTTCTAGATCGAGTTTCCCTGCAAGCACCGGCATCTACATATGTACGACGACATTGTCGTGTTACACATGCTCTTAAGTGCTAATAAAACGGCCCAACACAAGTGATATATATATAGCAATTTAGCAAATAAATATGAACGTGAGAGAGACTGCAACAAGTGGCCCTAAACATGGTGCTACGAGAGAGAGATATCGTGAATGTATGAGACTATCTTAAGTCCATGTCGTCTCTTGCCTTTTTGCACTATTTAGTGATTAAAATATTGATTCAGCTAACTCTAAAACTAGATTATCGAAGACATCCTAAGCCCTACCGTGTATGATCCTGGCTCGCATTTTCTTTCATGCACTTCCTTTTTGTTTTGTACGCTCTCTGGTGCGCACTATGGAAAGCACACGTTTTTTTGTGCAGCGACGACACGGACTTGGTCATGATGACGAACAGTTAATAATAAAGTGAGCTGCACTGAACCTGATCAGCCAAATTACCTACTAGACGACTCGTTCAAGCCTTTTAAACCTACCGGATTCAGCTCTCCCTAGCTTCTAGTAGTACCAGTATTTGCTAACCCTCATATGCGCACGCGCACAGTGAATTTTATATTTCACTCCGCCCCTGAAGTCAAACCTTTTTATATTTGATTGAATTTATAGAGAAAATATATAAATATTTATGATATTAAATAAGCATATTGTTGAAATATAGTTCATAAAATATCTAATAATGATGCTAATTTGGTGTCTTCAACACCTTAACTTATTTTCTTTAAGTTTAGTCAAACTCTAAAAGGTTTGACTTCACACAACTATATGAATTGATTTATTCTGGAAACAGAGAGGGTGGTGTACTTATAATAATCTAGTACACCTAAAAAATAACTAACCGTATCGTCTGCTTGCCCCGCTCAAAATACCGTGTGATATCGGGATCGCCCCGCTCGGTCAAATCCTCCGGGTGGACCCTCCCCCACATGCAAAGCAATATGGTTTCCAAATCAATCACGTTGCATGCTCACATGCAAAGCAATATACGGTTTACGAATTTACTGGGGTATATCCTGCCCGCGTGAGATTTTCTGGTGTGAGAGCTCCAAATAAAAAAGAACAATAATAATCTCCCCTCTAGACATCCTGACAGTTACCGGCCCTACATTGTACTCATGTTTTTATATGTCAAATTTGAATATATAAAAGATACTAATGTTTATCATAGTAAATATATATACTATTAAATTGAAGGCGCGCGGTGATGTTGACGCATGGGCGCTGGTGCTTAGAACTCTCGGAGTTTCAAACTATATTTATTACGAGGGAGACGACCTGATCTCGATTCAAATCGGTAAGACATTTGAGAACATCTGCGAGGTCGGCGCCTGAGTTTGAATGCTGACGATGACTACGGAAGGTTGCCGTTCGGCAAGCAGTGTCAGGGACGACTGTCAAAAATTTGTGTCGCAAATATAGTCAAATTTAAGAAGCAGTCATTCTTGAAGCCCAATTTTTCATTAATAAACCAAACCAATTGCCAACTATGCGAGGCCTGAAGCCTGATATTTTACATAAATTTTACATGTCTAATAAAACGGTCTGAGTCCAAATCAAAAAAAGAACAATAATAATCTCCCCTCTAGACACCCCTGACAGTTACCGGCCCTACATTGTACTCATGTTTTTATATGTCAAATTTGAATATATAAAAGATACTAATGTTTATCATAGTAAATATATATAGTTTCAAACTATATTTATTAAATGTCATGAGCATTAATATTTTTACCTACACCAGATATATAACCATGAGTTGCACATGTGTAGCTCGTGAGTCGTGATTCTTCGCCGGTTGCCCAACGTGGCGGCCCGGCCGGCGCCGCCGCAGAGACCCCGTGGGCGTGGGGTCGATCTGGCTCAGCAGCTCATGGTGGACGTCGAGGTGGATGTGCAAACGCTAGCGGCTGGAATGCATGGCTGCTGCCTTGTTCTTGGATCGGTTCCTCCACGCGCGTGAAAGGGAAGTATGGATGGAGCTATATATATCTAGCAGCAGATGGTATGGGGCCGGCCGGGCAGTCTCAAGTACTGTAGCTAGTGCATGCATGCACGCCCGTCGTATTTTTTTTACTATTGCGCGTGCCCTGCTCCTTGCTCCAATAATGAACTCTCGGCCGCATATGCATGCTCGCTCTCCATCCATTCGTTGGTAGTAGGTAGATCATCTTCTTCAGTCCCGAAACAAACGATCTGGTATGCGTGGGCAAGACGATGTGTGTACCTAGCTAGCTAGTTGCAGCGGGCGGAGCGTGAGGTGTAACCTTTTTTTAAGGCTAAATATAGGAGATCACACCATTTATAGAGATGGTCAAAAACGCTTTATCGAGACTATATATATATATATATATATATATATATATATATATATATATATATATATATATATATATATATATAAAAGTTAAATTTCAAAATATGAAAACTTAACATATATTTGTAGCCCCAAAATAAAAAGGTTGTCAACTACAAAGTTACACAATTTGCCTTCATCTGAATTCATTTAGAAAAAAAACTATTAATCGTTTGTACTAGTACTATATTATAATAATATTTCAACAAGTGGAAACTATAATCCGGCTCCAATCTACTAATTGGATATTATACAGTTCTAATATTCCAAGCAAACCAAATTATTATAATCCATAATCTAAATCAGTACTATAATCCTAATATCATTGTTAATATAAGACTCATAATCCTATATATATTGTGATCCAAAAGGACCTAAATCTTGACCGAAGATGGTAAATAAATAAATAGGAAATCTAGTAAAGGAGAAAGAACCTCTTCGCCTGCTCACCACATGGACCAGTTTGGGCTGTGCGAAAGTAAGTGGGCCTCTAGATGAGTGGCTGTTGCATTGGGTGCCTTGCATATTGCATGGTAGATTGGAATTTTGGTAAAGATTTTTCGCTAGAGCCGAATTTCTGCATTTTTCAGGCTGTATGTATAGTATATAATATTCTTCCTGTTTGGAACTGACGAGGAAGCCATAGAATTGCACCCTAATTCGGGCACGTTTGATACACATGTTACCTAGGCTAAAAATTAGCCCAAATTAGCTATTATTAACTAACTAGTTGGCTAACAACTACCTTCTATTCTAAATTATAAGTTATTTAGCATCTCAAGTTTGATCAAATTTAAATATAGTAAAATAATTACATTTATGATACCAAATAAATATTATTAGATTCTTTATTAATTATATTTTAGAGTATACATATTTGATGTTATAGATTTTTGTAATTCTCTCTATAATCTTAGTCAAACTTCAGATGTTTTGACTCTCCAAGAAAATTACAGTGACTTATAATTTGGAACGAAGAGAGTAGTTAAAGACTTGGCTCAAAAAATAGCCTACATATTAGTTCTCTTATTTCGATACACTAGAGCTTAATTTTAACTAATTTTTAGCTACTACAGTACCATACTAGATGCAGGGCACTAAACACGCCCTAAAGTACTACACAGCACAGTACTACTAGTTAGTAATAGTAAATCGTAGCTAGGTGTAATAGTTAATGATGTAATATAATGACTTTGACGGTATATAGTGTGAAGGCTAGTCTTAGGAGAGTTTTATGTCCTAATTTTCAATACATCTATATTTTTAAAAAAAATACAGAAGAGTTTTATCCTCATTAAGGACCTGTTTGGCAGGGCTCTGGCTCCTCTGAAGGAGCTGAAGCCGTTCTGGAAAATATTTGGCAAAACGGTTCATTCGCACTAGACGACGTGAACCCATAATAAGGAGCCGCGCGAAGCTCATATTTTTTAGGCTTCTCCTACGCACGCAAAAAATAGCTCCGGCTCTTGACCGGCTCCCCATGCGAAACTCTTTCCTAAAACAAACGTTTGACACAGCTCCTGCAGGAGCCAGAGCTAAAGCCCCTGCAGGAGGCCTGCCAAAGACACTCTAAACTCTCTCTACTCCTATAAAATTTTTATCATCCCTTTCTTCGTTGATACGATACCACGTTAGTATATTTAATGCCCATTAAAAAAACAGTTGTGTAGGTGAAAGGGTCCACGGGGAGATCGACTGCTGCTACTTTCAGGTACTACTGGTTTTTAGTTTTTACACAACTCATTTTCAGGTGGTTGTGTGCACGAGCGAATGGAATCACTTCACTAGCGGATTTACTTATTTATTACTGGAACGTGACAGAAACGGCCACACAGCTCAACTGCAGCTAAAGCGCAGGCGCAACCAAACCGAAAGCCACACCTCAACTACTACCCCTGCCTCTGCCTGCACGCACGCGCTACAACGGCCCAGATCTCGCCACGCGTCCGTCGTCGTCCATCTGGGCCGCGCACTCCGCCGCCCGCCGGCCCGACGCGAACCGCCGCACGCCTCCCAGCCCCGGCGCCAGCGCCGGTTCGGCGTCCGCAACCGTCACCTGACTCACCTCCTTATCCTCCGCCTCCCTACGCCTCGGCGCGTCCGCCAGGGGCGGGAACGGCGGCGGCGGCGGGGACTGGTCGACGCACTCGACGACGCTGTGCCTGGACCGGCTGCGCCGCATGAGGAAGCCGAGCCCGCCGCAGCACCCGGGGGCCCTGGACCCCGCGCGCGGCGGGCGGCCGAGGCGCGCGCGCTCGCGGTCCGAGAGCACCTTCCCGATGCAGGACACCTTGGGGGACCCGGGCTCCGGGACGGCCGCCTTGGGCGCGCGCCCGCCGCCGCCGGTCTTGGCCTTCTTGGGGAACATGGCCGGCGGGTGCTGGTGCCGCCGCACGCTCCCGCCCAGCTTCCCGGACAGCCCGATGATAGGCGCCGCCGTCGGCTTCAGGTTGCCCGAGAACCTCTGCGAGGACCCCGACCCGGCGCCGTTGTGGGCGCCGGCGTGGCTCTTGACGACGGATTTGGGGTTGGTGTTCTCCTTGAGGGAGTCGTCGCGGTCGTACACGCCGTTGATCTCCGACCACGCGATGTCGTCGCCCAGGCGTAGCTGCGTCGACTCCGGCGGGTCGCCGCCGAGGTGGTCCCGCGAGGCAGACATGGCGCGCGGGGAGAGGACGCAGCAGAGAGAGAGAGGCGCGCACGCGATGGAGGAGCTTGGAGTTTTGCAGCTTGGCACCGGTTTTCGTTTTCCGGCGTGTGGCGTGGTTTTTAAGGTGTTTTTGCGTTGTTGACTCGTTGGGATTGCCATCTGCACAACCTTTTTTTTACAAAAAAAATTCTTTTCACTCACTCGGGTTTATATTACCTCCCTCCGTCCTGAAAAAAAATATTATTATAGGTTGCGTGCCACAAAAAATAATTCATATTTAAATGAATAAATATTCACAATTATATCTTTAAATTAATTTATTATAAAAATACATTTCATAATTAATCTGAATGTATTTATTTAGCATCATAATTTATTTGGATATTTTTTATCTAAAATTGGTCAAACTTAAGATACTAAACATGACACCACGCTAGAATTATATTTTTTGAGAAACAGAGATAGTATTTATTATTCATTCAGTTGGAATACGTTGTCCGTAGGACCTGGCGTGCAGCGCGTGCACTTGGACTACCGACATTTCTTTTCTTTTTTTATGCAAAATTGTAAAAAGTGAATGTGTTTGCAAATTTTGAAAAGGAAAATGTGAATAGCCAAGACCATCAGCCTATTCGTTTCGTCGTATTTGATTTATAAGTCATAACTTATCAGCCAACGAATAATATTTTTCTCTCACACAAAACCAGCCAAGAGTACTTTCAACCATGGCTTATAAGCCAAACCAGCCCAAACGAATAGGGCGCGTGTGGATTCTGTTAATTCTTTTCACAAAGTGCTTTTGGTTTCGTAATGACAAAGGTTGAGCCCAGTGTACATGATTCTCGGTGGACGATTTAGAGTTGACATTTTTTGTGATGTGATCTTCAAATTGCCCTCTGGTGAGTAATTATCGACTCATTTGACTTCGCATGGTTTTCGATCAGTGCATATACTTGACAACCACTCCTAACTTTTTTAGGATCCTTCGTGTATATGATATTGAATAGGTATTTTTTTACACAATTTCATGCATCTAAGTTATAATTTTTTCAAACAGAATAATTCAAAAGAAGTAACATCATTGGCGGCCTGGGAGATGAAGATCGGAGAGCTAGGGTTCCGAATGGAGGGGAGGGGGGTCAACCTAACACGGAGATGGCGGTGACGGGGCATTGCAAATCGTGAGTTGACCCATGAGTTTGGGGATGACCTAGATGACACTATTATACAAGTTCAGGAGTCCAGATATATAAAAATCCGAGAGTTGCGGAGCCATGTGACACCACAACACAAGTTCAGAGACCCAAATAGCAAGATCCAGATGACACAATTGTGCAAAATTAGGGATCGCTCGTGAATTTTACATTCAGCCAAAAAGTTATGGTGTTTAGTGTTTTTAAGATTTTGCTAAATCTTTCACTAAGCGACATGTTTTTTTTTAAAAAAAACTAGACTAGAGGTAGTGGTATTAACTAAGCCAATAGCTTACCATTTGAGGTTAATTTTAGTTTTTAGCTGGTTTTGTTCCACTAGCTTAGCTTTCAATGTTGAGCAAAGGATTGGCATAACAAATCTCTGTGAACCGGCAAGAATAACACGTAGTCCAACCTCCAAAAGTTTGCGAGCATACACATAGGTAAAATTTTCTCCGCTATGGAATATGGGTGAAGACTGAGTGATGATTGACAAGAGAGTAGAGACTAGTAGACTACTAGAGACCCTAGGAGGAGAAGACAAAACATGTGAAGAGAAAACACACACTAGCGCTGTACCAGTGGTCCATGGACTAAGCCTAGGCAAACATGAGTGGAGGATCGAGATCTCTGAAGACGACGAGAGGGACCGTGCACCGTGTGTCGGACGCGCAGTGCCGTGCGAGTTGGTACTTAGCGTGAACAACCTTGAGATTAACGAAAGGTTGGTTTAGAAAAAAGAAGAAGAAAGAAGGAGCTAGACGAAGACAAACAAATGGTGAAGCTGCTGCTGTCTGGGTGACTGGGTCTGGCCTAGCGATCCTGAATTCCCGCGGATTCAGACATTCTTTTGACCTTGGAGGCTCGGCTGTCGGCTTGGACTTGCTGGACTCCACTGCGGTAAGCAAAGGCAAGGCCTTGCCGTCAGTAAGGGCGCGTTTAGATTCAAAAATTTTTGGTTTTGGCTACTGTAGCACTTTCGTTGTTATTTGGTAAAAATTGTTCAATTATGGACTAATTAGGTTCGAAAGTTTCGTCTCGCAATTTCTCGATCAACTGTGCAATTAGTTTTTTTTTCGTCTATGTTTAGTACTCCATGCATGTGCCGCAAGATTCGATGTGACGGGGAATCTTGAAAATTTTTGGTTTTTGGGTTCCATCTAAACGGGGCCTAAGTCCTTGTGCCTGTGCATGCACGACTCAACAGGTGAGGAGTCGCCGGGTACAGGTACAGTGCCATAGGAGTACAGTATAGACAGCATGTGGCTTCAATTATTTGCGTCTGAATTTGCTCTGATTTTACGTGTACAAACATACTTCATGTGCCATCAAATATTTGACACATGTACCGAATATTAAATATAGAATAAAAAAATAACTAATTACATAGTTTACGATTAATTTACGAGACGAGTCTTTTAAGCCTAATTAGGTCATGATTTGATAATGTGGTGCTACAGTACATATGTGCTAATGACGGATTAATTATGCTCAATAAATTCGTCTCACGGATTACTGACTGATTCTGTAATTTGTTTTTTATTAGTATCCAAACACTACATGCAATACTCCTATATAACACCTAAAACTTTACAACCTGGATTTAAACCGCGCTTCAGATTTTTTTGACCTGTTTCTTAAAAAAAAAAGGAGATTTTTGTGACTTGTTACATAAAAAACTGACCCAATTTTTGGCTTCACTAGTTGACTTGTCACTTGCCGAGTCACATCCAACCCCTGTCAGGTAGCGTCACTCTCGGCGTGTCGGATCCACTCTCATGATTACAAATCACGTGCGTGCTTTTTGCCAGCCGTCCATCCGACTCGCAGCATGTTCGGCGAGTCCTAAATGATCGTGGATTATTTACGGCTAGCTGGTTTGGTGTAAAAGAAAAATACTATTTTAGCTTATAATTCACGATCGTATACAAGCAAGCGAACAGGCTTGGCCATCCAACCCCGTAGCGTCACTCTCGGCGTGTTGGATCCACTCTCATGATTACAAATCACGTGCGTGCTTTTTGCCAGCCGTCCACCCGACTTGGTGACTCCTGCCCCAACGTCGCCGCCGCCATCCGTCGTCCACCACCGCTGGTCCCCTCGTTTTCCCTCCGGCATCTCATAGACGAACGAAGGGGGTGGGGATTATTGTTTTTAATAAGTTTTTCCTTAGCAGATCGAGTCATTAGGGTTAGTGTCTCTTTATGCCAAATTTCTTGGTATTAGAGTTTTATGTCCTCTTCCTCCTCTCCAACGACGGTGAAGGAGAAGAGTGGAATCGTCTTTTCCATAGCGGCTCCGTTAAAGATGTGGGCGACGGCATCAGCATCTTCATCGACATGACTACATCGAGACTGTCGATGTTTTACCACCGATAGCCTGTCACGGGGGTACCCGGGATAGTTTGTTCGGGCTTCAGCGTATGCAGAACTCGACGGTGAACGCAAGAGATAGTCGATTTATCCTGGTTCGGACCCTCGATCGTTGATCGAGTAATAGCCCTATGTCCAATTGGCGTCAGCCTTGTGTTGGATTGATTGTGAAGTGTTGTGTCGTCAAAGTCTCTAGTCTCGTCTCTAGGAACCCTGCCCTCCTTTATATAGTCAGGAGGCCAGAGTCCTAGTCGGTTTACAATGAGAGTTTCTAGTATGATTACAGAATAATACTACTACTAGGATTACATGAGAATAATCCTAGTTAGACTAGATCTTCTCCCTTCCTTGCGGGGTATCCCGTGGGTCCCGCACCGACAAGCCCCTGAGCACTTTATGGTTGAGCTCTAGAAGCCTTGTCTTGTTCCTTCAGGTCTTGCTGAACAGGAACAAGCGTCGTCCGAGTGCTTTCTTGAGCGAAACCGTGTAGCGCTTCGTGAGATCTTCGCGTGATGTGTAACTTTTTGAAGAAAAAAGTACTCCCATTTGGGTGTAGCCCCCGAACCTCTTGCTTTTTGGCACAAGGAGCTGGAGGGTCTTCTCTTAAGGGTTCCTGAGCATGTACCCGGGTTCTTTATCAAAAAAAGCTCGGATATAGCTAGTTTCGGGTTCTTTTTGTTGTGAGGTCTTGAAGTGATCTGTCTTGAAGAAGTCTTTTTGGTGATGTGCGCTTTTTTGGAGAAAAAATGCACTCATGGAGTGTAGCCCAGAGCCTCTTGCTATTTGAAATAAAAAGTTGAAGGGTCTTGAATTTTATTTTGTTTTGAAAACTGCTATCTTGAAGAAGTCTTCTGAGTGATGTGCGCTTTTTCGAAAAAAAAGTGCACTCACTGAGTGTAGCCTCCGAGCCTCTTGCTATTTGGAACAAAGAGTTGGAGTGTCTTGAATCTGAGTTGTTCAAAGGACTGAAAACCTCTCCTGTTGCATCCCCCGAGCATATACGTGGGTTCTTTTATTTGAAAAGAACTCAGATACAGGATCTTGGCATGTTTTCTGGTAGTCTGTTGTTGTCAGATGTAGTTGTATGGTGATAGTTGAGAGTAAATGCTGTTTGGCCACGAGTTGTGCAGTGTTGGTATATTCTTCCGAATATGCTCGTTCTTGAGTACTGCTCCTTCACGCCTGAGTCTTCTTTCATTGAATTCTGTCTTTTCACTATGTCCTTTATTAGGTTTGTTCCATTGATGATCTCGATCCATGTGCACCGCTTCTTTGGTCTATAAATACCCTCCTGGTGTGATGTTTTGATTCATCGAGCGTTTTGTTGCGTGGTCTGAAATCTCCGTAGTCATGAATATGATAGTTTGTGAAGTAGAGCAGCCCTCGGGCGTATTTTGTAGTTCTTGTGTATCTTGTCGTAGCTGGAGGGAGTCTTGTGATAGGG